CCTTCACAGTCCACAGGCTGAGCACGGCAGCTACGGTCCCAGCACACAGCACTCGCTGCACATGGACCACGCTTCGGTCCCCTACAGCCACCGATAGAGCCACAGAGGAAGGAAAATCACATGGGTGACAGCAAATCACAACACAGAAGATAAATCAGGCCAGAGCATTTTGTTTGTGTGTGCGCATGCGTGTGCAAACTACATTGCCAATGGCTGATCTCACTGTGATACTGCTGTATTGTGAACCTAATCTATAAAAATAGATTTTTTTTTTTAAGGTTACTAACCTACAATCAGTGCTTCAAATGAATGCTGTAACAGCAAAAAACAGCATTTTAGCAACAATGCAAATTTGCTTTTTTTTTGAAGACAGTCAGCTGAGACCATTAATGCTACCCACACTTGCACATAACATATGAAACTTTTAGCGTAGCCTAGCACACATACTGGAACGCTGCTGCCAACTTAGCGACTTTTCTGAGTCTTTTAGCTCCATTAAAATATAGGGGGAAAAAATGCATCAAGTCACAAGTTTAGCTACTTTTAGGACAAGCCTTCGCAACTTTTTAACAGATGAGAGTCACCGGTACTGCCCTGTAGGCGCACCCGTCTTTATTTCGTTGTTCAGTGAGTGTCAGAGGAGCAGTTCACATAGATGTGAAATAACAGTGTTGCCAAAGACTGACATGGAGGCTGTGTGCCATGTGAGACAAAAACGCATTCTTTCGCTTGTGTCTGGGTGATTATTTCACATGTAGATGTAACTGAAATTACAGCACAGCCAGCATCTTTAATCTATGTGGGTGGTGATTTTGTCAGACAAAAAAAAAAAGGTTGGTAACACTGTACTGGAAACAAGGGAAACAACTAGGCTCGCTCTGTCTGGAGGTCTACCAGCACCTTTAATCCTTTATATGGTCCTCATCAAAATACTTGGAAATTTCGACGTGTTATTGGTAAGAGGACATTTTTTTTCGACTTTTTGGAAAGTGTCAGATTTAGGCTGCAAATCAAACGAAGCAGTTACCATATACAATTCCTCTCCAACCAAGGGTAAATATAGATAAATAAATAAATAATCCAAATAATATGTGGATAAATTATTGTACCAAAAAAAAAAAAATACACACATTAAGATGAAGAAACATTTATCCCCGGAAGGTATGACGCTATATCACTCTGGCTGACTCGTAATTGGTCAGAGGCCGTAATGACTGTGTCGTGATGTAGCCTGACCTTTGTTGATTGGCTGAATAAAGTCACATGATTCTGCCCCCTGCCATTTTTAAAGCCTGCGCTGGTTACCACATCCTTGCCTGATAAAAGGTTAACCCGAGATCACAATGACTTTGATTTTCAGCCTGAATCAGAACTTTTTTTAAAAAGTCAAAAAAGAAAAAATGTCCTCTTGTATCCACCAACAACACCCCAGGGTTGCAAATTTAAATTTCCAAGTATTTCAATGAGTACCCTATAAAGGGTTAAAGGTTCGATATGGGGAAATTTTGTTGTGTTTGTCTGTGGATTTTGAAGGTGTATACTTCCGCCATTTCTCAAGTACCCCCATAACTTAACAGCCTCCCAGCTTCACAGTAAGAATTTTACCGAACTACTGCGTTCCAACTGAAGAAGCAATAGATATCTCGCTCAAACACTGTATAAACCTGCCCCCATCGCTGCCTGCTGCTGTGAGGTGAATCATTCAGAATGAGCAGCTGCCTCACAAACTGACAGTTTCATGTACTCTCTAGAGCTGCTTCTGCTAACTTTAAAATCTCTCCTCCATGAGCAAAGTCCACAAAATGTTCCGCTGTTGGGTGCAAGTGTGAACGCAAGAGTCTTTATGCACTCCCAGCATCTGAGGTACCGAAGGCCCCCTGGACTACTTTCATTTTTGATGGTGACGTGCCCACAACAGCGGGAAAAGCCCTAGTGTTGGCGTGCTGTGTGGCTGATGTAGCTAACGTTGCCATTAGCTTTGATTGTTTGCCCTGAGGTCAGAGCTCCGTGGAAACTGTAAAGTTGAGGGACATTCAGAGATGGTGGAAACATGAGGCCGATTTGAATCCAATAAAGAGGGACTGGGTGGGTTAATGTGTTTTCATGTGGCCTGTTGTGCTTCAACTGAAACATAGCCGTGATAGTCTGTTACATGGCTGTTTCTCTTCTGCTCTCTGTGCTCACACACTCATTTTATTACAGCTGAATTTCCAATAAAACTGTTCTCATTTACATATTTTTCAATTTCTTTTGTGAGACAACAGAACCAGTATAATATAGTGACTGGAATGCAGGCAATTAAAACTGCATGTTAGCTAGCAGTTGCTTCAGAGACATTTCCATACTGTAGCACTGCACCGAGTTTAAACAATGATGGTGCTGTGAATTTGGTGCTGTTTCCATGCAAAATGATCACTCAGAGAAAGAGGTAGAAGTGATGGAAAGCCTCGGTCACACACACCCATTCGAGTTTGGGTCGGCTGCCGTGCAGTCAAATGTTTTGCGTCACGCAGAGAGTCGTCTGCCTGAAGGGGATGTGGACGGCAGCAGCTCAGTTACATTTAAAACACTGAAACAGGCCAAATAAAACCGGGATAGAACCACGGGTTATACAGTCATGGTCAAATGAATTCTCTGTGCTGTATTTTGAGCTAAAAACAATTGAAAGACACATTCAGTAAAGCTGTTTCCCTCCATTTATGGTCATTATGCTAACCTGAGCTACCTATTAGCTGGATTCATACTAAATGTGCAAACGTATGATTGGCGACGATCTTTTAATTGCAAGAAAGCGTAAATGCTGAACGCGTCTATATTATCTTAATATTTACTGTGATTTCTTATCTCGAGGGATACACGATATATCGGCGACCACATCGGTATTGGCCGATATTAGTGTTGTTTCCCATATATCAGTATCGGTCCGATGAACAAATTTAGTCGATGTGAAAAACCGATGATTGTCTAAAATTAGTGCCTTCATCTCTACATTTGATATTGCTGCTATTTCACAGATGTTTTTATCTAAATGGTCCTGGACTTGAACGTTAAATATGTTAAAATATGTTTGACTTTTGTTATGTAATAAAGAAGACTGTGGTCTAATTTGGTATGGGGCTTCTTATGAATAATCTTCACATTCTGACAGTGCTTACTTATACTCATTTATCAGTGTGAACACAAATTGAATATCAACATCAGTAATATCAGTTATTGGCAATAACAGAAATCCTAATATTGGATATCTGTATCAGCCAGAAATTTTAATATCGTGCATCACTACTTATCTTCCTATTCGAACTTCATTTGTTGGTTAATTTAGGTCCTGGAGGGAATTCAATGGATCAAAAGCAACCTCACAGAAGTACAAAAGGAACTCAATCAACAAGCTAATATAACTAATTTAATATAAGCTAAAAAAAAACAAAAAGCCACTAAACTTCCATGCGGGTGTCTTGAATGGCTCCTTTCTGTGCTGACATAAATGGTATTCCTAATTGCACTCAACCTAGCTCTACTATTTGCTTAAGTATCTCACCTTCCCTCTTCTAGGTAATATTATGAGTTTTGCTGATTAACAATCTGATCCACGCCGCAGCAACAGTTAACATAATGTGAACATTTCTCCGCTTGATGGAAAATAATAACACACACGCGCGTGTGCACACACACAAAAATCACAATCAGCCAACACCACTGTGATGATAATAACATTCACTGAGCAAAATGCAATTTTTCAGCCGACTGCCTTTGTTTAGGAAGTTTTTAGAGATGATTATTATTTGTGCAATTATCTGAATGATAAAAGATCCATTTCCAAAAAGAAAATATTTCCCACCTTGCTTGTAATTATTCCTTCTGTGTCTGCACACCCGCTGAGAAATGGAGAGCATATTACATTTCAGTTTGTCCGTCAGTGTGCCTTTACTGCCTGCTACAGGACCGACATTAACGAGGCATTAATTGGCATTTTCTTCGGCGCTCGCAAAACTTCAAACCTGGGAGTGGCAACAGGAAATGTCACATTATGATGCTGTCCCGCCACATTTAAAGCCTCCTTCATACACTGGCAGTCCTGTCAGGGTGCTGTGTTCTAATAGACGAGATGAGAGTATTAATGCCTCCCTCCACTGGACAGTATTAAAAGGGAGTATATTATGTTGTGGCTTGTGGGTAAATTGCACCTCATAAAATACTCTTTGATACAACAGTGAATGTATAATTGACTTCCCCTCCTTAACCATCCTCCTCAGCTAGCCTATGGGGACTTTGAAGTGAATGACCTTATGATGCTGCGGTCAATAAAAACTGATACACACTCTTGAGATTGTTGTGTATTCCTTAAATGTTATGAAAATACAATATACAGAGCAACAATACAATGCTTTGGAGACTGTTCAGTATATACATAACAGGTCTTCTGCCTTGCTAAGGAGAATGATGAGAATGAACTGGAAAGTTGTGCCTTTTTTTTTTTTTTTTCCAACGACATGCAGAAATTTCTCTTGGCTTGCTTTGGCCTTTCCGTAACTCTTCCACAGAATAAGGATCTGACGTAAGAAATTAATATCCAAAATGATACAAAACTTCCAAAACCATTTAATGTGCACACACATTCAGAACACCTATCTAGTCACGTAACTGTTCATTTCAAAAATCTGTCTGTCGTCCGATTATTACAGGTCGTCAGTGCCGCGGATCAATCCTGGGATCATTACTTGACAGTAAACCCTGTAATAATAAAAGGATGATAAAAAGGTAATCATCTGATAAACAAATGAAAAGGAAAAAAAAAAACAACAACACCTCTCGTCCTCCTTTTTTTTTTTTTTTTGTAGTGATTTGTCACCAGTCACTTGTGGAAATATGACAGTCCTCTTAAATTTAATGACCCTTTGGCAGTTTGGGGTGATTCTGAAGTAAATGTTCTCTTTCACCAACTATGGGTCTGGTTTCTGTTGAGACCCACTTTCCTCTGGAAGGCATAAGGGTGAGTTTGTTACAAGTGTGCACAGTACATTATGCCACCTCTTTTAAAGCACTGTCATTTAACCTTTCCATGTAATTGCGTAACTCCTTGGAGTCTCCCAGCTGCACGTCTTGGCACACCCACTTAATGTCCTGGCTGTGGCTTCCAGTCAGTGTGTTAACAGTGGGGTAGCTATTGTCCGAGGGGATGGTGGTGAATGTGGTGAACTTGACTCGCTTCCTCTTGGTGGTGGGGGAGTCTCCTTTGCTGTCCTTGGATATGCTGCTCGCGTCCGCCGCGCGGTGCACTTGGCTCTGCACGTTCTTCTGGGCAGAGCCTCCGTTCAGCAGGTGGCTGCCTTCCTCGAGGCCGCTGCTCGAGTCCATCATGGAGGTCTGTTCCTCCTGCTGGGGCGAAAGGCTGATTTGGCTCTCCAGCAGTTCCGTTTCGTTCCCCAGCCACACCCAATCATGGGCATGGTTCATGTTCTCCTGGCCCTCGATGGAGAGCTCCTTGTGGCGGTATTTGAGGGTATAGGAAATGCAATTAATAAGAAACACCAGGATGGCAAGGCAGAAGACCCCAAGTAGGGCGTACATGCCAATCTCCAGGTCTGTGAGCCCACGAGCGGTCTGAACGAGGTCGTCGTCCATGTTGCGACCACGGGGCAGGTCTACTTGTGCAGGGAAGTCGGCAAAGTCAATTGGCATGTTCTGGCTACCGTCATCTGAAAGTTTATCCCCATTGGGTCGACGCATTATTGCGCTCCTAGTAGTGGTGGCTCTCCTCAACACCCCATCCTCCATGTCAGAGATGGAGCTGCCGTAGTAGTGAGTGTCAAGGCCGGTCCTGTCCTGGGTGGAGGAGAGCCTGCCCCTGTTCTCCATATCATCTCCATCAGGGCCATAGTCGCTGCTCCCTCCCCTTGAGCTGTCACCATGACCAAACCTCACCCTGACGTTACAGTTCCCCGCTGCTAGGATGCTGCGACGCTTGAACTTCTGGCAGACCTCACAAACAGTCATTTCCACCCTGACCAGCAGGCCTTGACCCTCCGCCTCCGTTACAATGACAGGCCATTTCCACGAGGGGTCCTGTTTCACTGTCACCACTTCCTTATCCAGGGACGTGGCTGTCAGGACGAAAAAGTCCGAATTGTAGAGGTCTAACGGCGCCACAGAGCCGTCACTGAACTGTAGCCAGGCGCTGATCAGGGCCTCCTGCAGAAATACACACACAACAATATGCAAACAAAGAGAGAAATGGGAAATTTTGGTAATAAAAAGAAATGGAAATTATAGTGGAAAAATATTGCATCCAATCTCATTTCATGGAAATAGACCGAAACAGGTAATTTTCAACAGTTAGTTTTGAAAATTGCAAGGCCTCCTTGCTGAGTAATAATATCCTCTTTCTTGTTTTGGGCTTTTACTCTCAGGAGTGTAGTAAATTGTACAAATGAGCCACACAATGATTATTTGTATTTAATATTCCCTTTGTCAGTGCACCACATTGACGTAGAGGTTTGTGCTTGTGTATATTTTTGTAAGTTGAACTAAAGCCCTTTAAGTTGTAATGTTCTGTTAACTTAGCAGGTTTTCTTTCTTTGCTAAGGGGGAGGATACAGATTAAAAGATAGGCGCCAAATATCAAATGGTAACATTAAACATTGTTCATGACCAAGTCATACAGGGCTGCTTTCTACTACAGTGTCACAATTTGCCAAAGGACAAATCCCAAAAGGCACACAACTAGATCCCCACAGCGGTCTGTCAATGCCCCCTAATTACTGACATGAGAGGACTTACAGCGAAGTGCAGCTTGCTTATCTTCACACTTTGCGTAAAGAGATCAGGCAGATAAATGGCCTTCACGCCCTTCCTCAGTAGGAGAAAGAGTGCGCAGAGGATTGGCGAGGAGCAGTTCAGAGGACATGTGAGAGGGCACGATGGGCACATCAAAGAGGCAACAATGACAGTGGCCACGGCAAATTAGAAAAGGAAGCAAAACATGACACAAGGGCCAAGTTTGGAATAAAAAAAGTCTTCTTTTTGTACAGTAGCTGTGATGTTGCTTTTACATGTGGTCAGATTAATCTTCCACTTCTGTTAGATACCCTGAGAAATATCATTCTGTCACACTCTGGCTTTCAAGCCTTGGAGTTAAGACGGTTAGGGATAGTGTGGAACCAACAGACGTGTGTACATGAGCACACTCACACTCACACTTTCCTTGCTTGTAAAATTGCTTATTCTCATGTAATCTGGAAGTAAATCTTTTGTTTTGGAAATCAGAGGTGGCAGAATGTGCGGTTTTGTCTTCAGCAGATATAGAAGAATTCTGTCTCTCATCAAATGAAGAATAATTTAATATGCTAGGAGATAATAATTACTGTGTACAACAAATTAACATCATTCTCTGTCTTAATCAGATCTGGCTAAATGGTGTGCAAGTAATTACTGAAATTACTAGAATTGTTTTTAATCTATTAGATAAGAATCACAAGTCATTTTTATAAAGGAGGCATTATATTAAACTGTGGTGGCTAAGAGAGAAATGAGGCGCTATGCAAAGCTCAGTTCAGGTTGCAGTCTCTTATCTTCATTATCAGTTAGCCTGATGATTCTCTCAATTTAGCCATTAATCCTTTTGTCTATAAATTGTTAGAAAACAGAAAAAAGCTGACAGTTGTTTCCTGCCGCCCAAGGTAATGCGAATTTGATGAACACATGATATATGATTTGAGCAGCATTTAAAAATGTAAAGATATTCAGTGTACTATCAGTGGGTGAGAGAAGTTCGAATTTTCTGATTGAAAAATTACAAAATCGATTCATAGATTATCTAAAAAAAATGTATACATTTTTGTCAATCGATCGATCTATGAATGAAATGCAGCAGCTCTGATTTTACGGCCTCCTGACCTGTTTGGGACTCTGCAGAACCTCCTGTGTGGTGGTAGTAGCTAGGATGGCCTTGTTGCTTCCTGGACTGAGCTGCAGGTTCATGGAGAGGCCCGTCACCAGCTGGACCCACAACTCTGAGATGGTCACTTTGTCATCTGCCACTGTGACGGTCTTCTCTGCCAGGATGGAGTCTGACAAAGGAGACAACACCTACAAGGTGCAAAAGTAAGACAGCGAAGAAAAGAAAAAAAAAAGAGTGTGTAAAGGATTACAGATTACAACTCTGAAGTAATTTTTAAAAGATGAAAAATTTGATTTACTTTCCCTGTAATAATAACACGATTGCCAAGCAGTAACATGTGACATTCTGGTATAAACAATTACAACAATGGCGACTCAACCCATTGTATCGGCTGTTTATGAAAGCTTTTTCATTTCCTGTTCTAAACACCAGGGGTCGAGGAGGTCTTTCCCGAGAGAAATCAGCAGCGACAGCAAACACAGCTGAATACAGAAAAAGAGCAAAGCCTGCGGGAACTTCATCAACAGAAATTCCAAGCCGGAAAAAAAAAAAGTCACCATTGGTCACGTTGCTTGATTGACAAGTGATTCCTGGCAAGTGGAATGCAGAAACATCACATCAATGTGCATTTAGCTGTGAGGATGTCACCGACATGAAAAAAAAGCGGATTACCGCGAGTTATAGGTGATTTAAGAAAATGTCTTTCCAAGTGTTTCATCTAACATAAAAGGCTCACAAGCTCCTGCGCAATATGCGAAATGATACACAAAACCTACTTCTTTTTTTAAAAATGTTATCTCTCTTTACTCAGGCTGGGTAGATCAAACAACAACTCAGCTTGGCTGCCATCCAGCCCCCATGCTTCCTGTAGGTAAGAATCCATTCCCTTTGATTAATACTGGTAATGTGGAGGAGAGACACACTTGAACCCCCAAAACAGAAGCAGGAAGTCTAACTGTGCTTATGATGAATGCTATGTGAGCTATGTGTGACTTCCTCTGCATGCACATCTTCATAAGCATCTCCTCGTGCGTCAGGTAACGTGACGCGTGGCATGGGTAGTCACAGCTGTCAGACCTTCGCACTCATCATGTATTCCGGTTTGTGCTTGTTTTGTGAGAGCGTGGAGGGTTTTGCGGAGGTGAACACAGACAGACGGATGCGTCCTCGACACCGCTCTCAGAGAAGTTGATATTCATTCAGTTAGCGTGAAGAGTCTGACAATCCGAAAGGGCCGAGGGGGGGAGGACCCGCTCGCTGCTGAGGTCCTGAAGTACAGGCTGTGACACACCATAAGCACCTGTCTGCTCGAGAAAAAAGGATGTACTAGTCAACCCGTGGCAGCGACATTGGCAACTGTTATTGTCCTTGGAATAAACAATATGTTTCTGCTCCTACAGTATTATGCTATTTTTTATTTTCTTTTGTTGACAGAATATTGTACCATACTGAAACAGAGTAAAGTCTACATGCATCAGTTTTAGACAATATTTTATATAACTGAACGTTCCCAGTTCGGTGATGCTTAAACAGTCATAGAAGAGACATAAGAATAATTACCACATAATATTCTGGGATCATTTACACAGATCTTTGCCAAGATCTTTGGCAGCCAAGCAAGTAACAAGACTGAAAACAGGCACGGATCCTCCAACACAAATATATCCAAAACTTACAGAGATTCAAGCAACAGCAGATTGCAGATTGAACGCATTTCACTACTGTTGGGAGCTGTTTCTGATCCTCCTCTTTCTGTGCACAAAACATCGACTGAGAGACAGAGAAGGACAAGTGGCTTGACCCTCTTTAAGACAGGAAGCAACAACTTTAATTTGGGGAGGACCGGCACAAGTGGGACAACTTGAACTACTAACACCTCAGAGCACCTGCATAACACTGAGATAAACAATACCAACTATAACCCTTTATTTAGGTCTGCATATTAAGGAAACACTGTTAAACTTAAGCAAGACTCAGGTACATTACAACTGTGGTATTATTTTTTAGATATTTAGCCATCAACTGTGAGATCATTTTACTACAAAATTAGTTGCTAAGATCCAGAGAGCACATTGCTATCGGGAGGTCCAACAGGGTAAAAAACATGTGCAACCAGACAAGACTGTAAACCAGCCAATAGCTCAACCAGATTCTTTTAACCAGTTTGTTCAGAGATAAAACTGAAAGTAAGCATTCCAAAAGCTGACAACAATTGCTTATTAGCCCCGGTAAACTACTGTATAGCCGTACAACCGTTACAAACTAACTTAGTGTGTTTTTGACTGATTAACTGTAATTTGTTTGCATGCACAGTTCAGATTTACAGTTTGCTCTTCCACTTGTTTTAACTAACCCGACGTTTCGTGTCCAGACTCCTTACTGACTGACTGACATTCACATTTTGTGTTGTACCAACAAATCTGCCAATCAAAGGTCTTGCTGTTTTCCCAGATCTCAGCATCAAACTTGATAAATTCAATGGTATTATTACTAATAGGAATGGCAGCCACAATTTTTCTCTATGCAATGTCTTTTTAAAGAGTTAGTTTCTCATTCTTTAAAGTGTGGCTGTATGAGGTAATTATCCATAGTCAGTGTCGGTTGGTAGACCCCAGTTTAAAGAAGAAAAAAAAGGTCCTAATAAAAACACATTAGTTGGGATCTGAACTAACCCCTTAAATCAATCAATGAACCAAGTAAGTAATAGAGGCAACAGCAGACCAGCAAACTATCCTGTTCTGCATCTGCAAGGTAAAATTGTGGTTTCTATCAAAGGGATCTGTCTGTAAAGGGATCCCAGATTGATATAATGGCTTCAGTTCCCTCTTGGAACTGGCTGTCTGACGCCAAAGCAAAGCAATGAAAATATTTTAGATGTGGAATACATTGAAATTGAGTTTTATGTGTAGCTAATGTACATTTTGCTGCTGGCCTCATCCGGTGTTTCTCCAAACTGTGGTTGTGCCGACCACCATCAGCGAAAACAGTAACTGTGAATAATTATCTCATACAACTCCACTTAGAAAAAATCCAACTTAAAGCCAACGCGTGGTTCACCTGGATAGTGGTCATCCCCACGTCGAGTCCCACCAGTATCCTCCTGTCCAGCAGCTGTGCAATCTGGGGTTTCTCAACCTTCAGGAAGTCCCACACCAGCTCTGTAATGTCCACCTGCCAGTCCGTGCCCAGCATGTAGCTGGTCTGGCCTCGAGGATCCGCTGACTCAGCTACAAAGTGGGTCAGGACTTTGATCATGGCATGCTGGTACTGCAGAGTGCAGCTGCGCCCTCGTCTGTCATCATCGTCCTCGTCCTCGCTGTCCCTTGTGGATCTGGCAAGACAAAAAAAACAACAACAACCTGATGTGCAAACTGGAATGCTAGTGGCGTAGATCCCAGTGTTGGTTGGTCCTCTCCTTTAGTCCAGACTGATAGATTGCAACCAATAAATATTGTATGGATTCCCATCGAAGGCGGCACAGTTAGAGCAAAGCAGGGAGTTAATGGCAAATGTTATCTACAGCCAAGGCACACTGAGGAGAGAAAATCTAAACAGGAAAAAACTGTAGCAAATGCCTTGTTATTGGCAATCCACACTACAAGCATTGCTGAAGGTTTGACCTCTTCATGCAATTTGGTGCCGACATTCATGGTCCCCAGACAGTGACTCTTACAGTGTGAAGCTCCTTTGACTTTTCCTTCAGCACCACCCTTGACATTTGTAGGTTTGAGTGAATTGTGAAAACGAAATGACAACTGCAATATGGACTGCTATGAAATATGGTACAGACAATCCCAAAAATGTCAATGTGATGAATTCTGGGTGTTGGACAAAACTGTATTTATCCTCCTCTGGAAGAATATTAGGACTCCCACAAACACCTATTAGATTTAGCAAGAAACCGCCTCATAGTGACACTCTCTTGCTATCACACGTATTTATGCTCCTGTTCTGGGATGTTCAAGTCTTTTGTATTTGGTTCTTGATACTGTTTTTAGGTCTCTCTCTGAATGGACACTCCATTAAAACTTTTAATAACTGCAGTGACACATGTTGTCTTTATAGTAGGATGCCCCTGTGGTCTGGTGTACGTTGGACAAACACAAAGAGTTTTTAAGAGTTGCATATCTGCATGAACAAAAGGCTGCAATACATACACATAACATGGATTATGCTATTGACCGACATCATGTAGAGGCTAACCACTGCAGCATCATTACAGTTGTACAAAGTACAAAGAAAAAAAAATCCTTTAGAGGTGACGATATCATAAACTTGCTGCTCCAAAGAGACATGCTGGATGCACACTTTAAACACAGTGAAGCCCTTTGGTATAAATGAAGAACTGAATTTGTGATGTTTCAAGCTGTCACACTTGACAGGCCTTTATTCCAGCACTTTAATACTCTTATCCTTGTAATTTTAAGAGAAGTTTGTTTTGTTTCTGACATGATGTTTGCCCTCTGACATAAATAAACTGCTTGATTTGTCATGTTCCCTTTGGGTTGTCATCTTTGACAGATGTTTGTTCTGATACCTTTTTGTACTTTTATCTCTGCAACTTTAAGAGAAGTGTGTGCTCCTTCATTTCTGACAAGTGTTTGGGGTGTGGCGCTTTGACACTGAACTTGCTTTAGGTTGGTCGTTTTTTTTCTTTTTTTCTATTTTGGCTTATGCTTCCATTCAGACACTATGGGTAATAACATGCAGAGCCCATTCCGTTCTGCACATATGGAGAGCAGCTGGCCTGTCAGGTGACAAACATTTGTTTGTATTAGGTGGCATCTCTTTACATTGAACACTTACTGTCAAAATGTCAGCATGATGTTGTAATTCTATTGATACAAGCATTAATACTCGTGTACAGACTCCATTTTCTGCAGATGATGACACATATTCATGTCTCAATCAAGGCTTTTTGTTGTAGCACCAACATCAAGACAAAATGTAATTTGGACAATGCTTTGTTTTATGACAAAGTAAATACATTCTGATCAGATTTAACTGCCCTTTGCATTGTGATTGGTGCTGATTATTACATGTAAGCACACTAAACTAAACGGAAACGTTACCAGAATTATACCGACTGCACATTTGCATGATTATATTTACATTGGAGCATGTTAGCATGCTGACACTACGGTGGCCGATGGGGGCAAATTTCGTGCATATACGCAAACGAGCTGCATATACATGAATGCGTTGCATAAACAGAAACACATTGCAAAAAAAAACGCTGCATATTCAGTCACACAACTGAAGTGTCACAGGCCTCTAGGGGCAGTAGTGAGCTTTTCACCTGAGAGGCAGACAACGGTGAGCAAGACAAGCAATGTTGGTTGAGGGACAAGCTGTGGCTAGTGGGAGGAAGCCGGAGAACCCGGAGAGAACCCGCGCTGCACGGGGAGAACATGCAAACTCCACGCAGAAAGATCCAGGTACCCACACCGGGACGCGAACCAACGACCTTCTTGCTGAGAGGCAACAGTGCTAACCAACTGCGCCACCTTACAGCCTGAGCTGATTACAATAATGCTAAAATATTAAAATATGATAAAAGGTTAGAACCGTAATCAATAAATAAATCGGCTAATAAATAACTAAAAACAAATAATAACAGTGATGAAATAACAATTATAATAGAGGGACATCAGTCCATTGCACGGTGCCCATGTGGGGTGACGGGGACAGCAACAACAGCGAAAGCAAAAGCCAGCTCAGGAGCCTCTGCCATCAGCTGAATCATCATACAGCCTTATGGCTGTTGGGAGGACGGACCTCCTGTGCCGATTGCAGGGAGATGAGCCGCCCACTTGGCTGCTGCTATACGTACATCATTTGCCCCTGTCAACCACCACATGATACTAACATGTTTGCAGACCCTTCATCTTCTCCATCATGTATTCCATTATAATGCATCAATGCTGTACAAAACACATAATTGAATGTAGTGCACTCGACAGTAAAAGACAGTTGTTATATACAGTCTAAAAATGGTAGAATCTAAAATAATTGAGCCAAGTGTGCACACTGCATCTTCTAGGTGTACAATAAAACTCTGAATTGATGCACGGTTTGTAGTATTTTCAGCAGCATTCAAAGCTGAACTGATTTCAGTCAAACACAAACAGATTGGTGTAAGTCATACAGGGATGTTTACCTGACGATCAAGTTATAATGTCGTTCATCAGACTGTAAGAGATGATCAATTCAGCAAATGGCAATCATTTTTCTTTCTCAGTGCATCTCCCCTTCACCATTCTGGAACACGTGGTCTGGAGTGGGAATGTGCATACACCTCCTTACTGCTTTGCTTAATAGCCTCCCTGATTGCGCTGTTGCGAGCAAATCTAATTTTATTACTTTAGGCATTAAATCAGCCAACAGAGGCACAACTCTTTCTCACCAGGAAAATTGCTTTGAGTATGACAAACTAGGTATAAACGGTTACAATACAGCTGCGATATCATTAGATTTTGTCCATAACTGCCTTTTTATTTTTGCCTCAACAAACACCTTTATAGAAATAACAGATAAAGCACCCTGAGATGTTGAGAAAGCAATGTTTGAACGGTTGATCGGGGAGAATAAATGCTGTAACAGCTCTTCAGTGTTACACCAGGGCACAGTTGGGGTACTAGCAAACAGAAAAGCGCTTTGTCAACACAACAACTAATCATACGCTGTACCGCAGACTGACATGCACCTTTCTGTCTAATCATTGTCATTTGTTCCTCTGTCTCCCTCTCTCACTCACATACACACCAGTAAAGGTTGCGATCACGATAAAGGGGAGAAGAAAAGAAATTAATCTCTTAAACTGTTTTTCTTGCGATTATCCGCTCTGCTTGTCTCTTTCTGTCTGAATCCCCTGAGAAATCTGACTGCATGTGAAGCAGTGGGAATAAAGATGTTAGATGCACGCTCCAGAGGAAAGCCAGGGGTACAGGGAGATTTGAAGTTAAGGGCTTAAAAGCTTTGCTGGCGGGACTGATTTCACATGCAACTGAATGACAGCCATTAGCGGAGAAAATTATTCTGCAGTGAATATTGAAAGAAGACCTATATATTCAGGACTTGTGTATCGTCAAGAGCAAGCCGGCCAAGAGACGATATCTCCATTTCAAACCACAACAGCGAGTTGTGGACACCGCTGGATTCTGACTGCACAGTTTGGCAGACAAAGTTATATATATATTATTATAAATGTTGAATCTTGTAATCTTCAATCTTCTAAAAATATCAGCGTATCTCCAACAACATGGCCCAAACAATCTACCAACTGTCACCAGATTTTGATTGAAATGCTGCCAAAGCCTGATTAGTGCACAGTATGTGTCACTTTTTTCTTCTAAGATTACTTTTTGGGGCATTTTAAAGCCGTTATTTGATAGCAGCAGTTGAGAGAGACGGGAAACAGAGAGGAAGAGGGTAGTGGAATGACAAGCACCAAATGCTGCCCAGTCGAGAACTGAACCGCTGACATAAGGACATGGTCAAATTCATTGTCGTTTTGAGCGCAGACTACAGAAGACATGATGGATAGACAGCAGTGTTGTGTGATCAGTCAAAGTTTAATCACAACAGAAAACATGGATGGTTATTGGGCACATCTGCTGAACAAACACTGTTTCAAAAGTTATATTTCACACTATTTTAAACTTCTCAATATTTCATTGATTTTACCTCAATTCCAACAAAACAGAAATCACAGGAAGACCTCAGAAACACATCCTCTAACCATATAGTTCCTCTGGATGGCATCACCTTGGCTTCCAGTACTGCTGTGAGAAGCCTTAGTATTATTTTTAACCAGGATATGTCCTTTAACTCACACATAAAACAAGTCTCTACAACGGCCTTCTTTTACTCTCATACTGCAGATTTATTTGTTCCCAGAGTTTCCAGAAGTAGAATGACAGCCTTCAGTTATCAGGCTCCTTAGCTGTGGAATCAGCTCCCAGTTGTTCGGGAGGCAGACACCTGCTCTACTTTAAGGATTAGACTAAAGACTTTTCTCCTTAATAAAGCTTATAGCTAGGGCTGCTCAGGGTCACCTGAACCATCTCTTAGTTATGTCGATGTAAGTTTAGACTGCTGGGAGACTTCCCATGATGCCCTGAGGACATCTCTTCCACTGTACTGTTTCTCTCTTCATACAACAAGTGCATGTCACTGGCTTGTGTGTTGTTTCTCTCTAAATCTTACCCTCACCCCAATCAGTCGAAGCAGATGGCCGCCTCGCTGAGCCTGGTTCTGCTGGAGGTTTCTTCCTGTTTTTTTTTCTTCTCACTGTCGCCAAGTGCTCGCTCTAAGGCATGGGTGTCAAACTCAAATAAATGGTGGGCCAAAAAAAAAAAATCTGGGACTAAGCCGCATGCCAGACTCAATATTTATTGAAGAATTCACTACAACAGTGCATGTTTTCCCTAATGATAGACTTTTTCATATGGAAGCAAACTTGCTCAAACTCTGGATTTGGAAAACGTGCCATGACCCCCCCAGCCCTTGCCTATCTCCCTCTTTTTCTCCCTCTCTTTTCCCTTCTCTCTCTGTCTCTGTCTGTCTCTTGCTCTTTGTCCCTCTCTGCCTCTATGCATCTCAGCACCCAATCAAGGACAAGCACCCACAGCTGCAACTCCAGACTCACCTGTTCACAATCACCACAGCTCCCATAAAGATGTTATTCATTCCACCACACCCTGCCAGACCAGAGACATTCCTCCCTCATGTTTCTACCAGTCCCCATTTGGTCTCCTGCCTGCCTTGATCCACTATCTGTCTCAAGCCTGCATTTCCCCAGCCAGCTTTCTCCTGCCACCGGTTCCAGCCTGGATTCCTCGACCCTGTCTGCCCCCTCCATTTTTGTCCCCTTTTTGTGAGTAACCCCGTTTGTTTGAGTAGCTTTGTTTTTTTTAATTATTTTTAGAATTTGTTAGGTTTTTTTCCCCTCTATTCTGTGTTTAGAGTTTTCTAGGTATTTTTTGTATTTTTGCCCCCTTGTAAGTTTGCTCTGGTTTTCCCTGTTCTGTTCCCCCCTCCCCATTTAGTTACCTCCCTCCTGTTTCGGTTTCTGTTTATCTATCTTTTAATAAATCCCTTTGTTATATTCACCTGTCTGCCTGTGCCTGGGTTCTCAGCCCTCCCCTGCGTGACAAAAAGCAACTATAATAATAATAAAGGCTAAAAAGCCCAAACAAAAAATGCATTTAATGATGAAGAGAAAAACAAAAACGTTTGCAAATTTGTGAACAGATAATCTGCCTCCCACCTGTCTTGAAAGCTCCTGTTTTCCATATTTTGTTTGGCCTTTTTTTGTGAGGGGTGGCTTAAATTTTCCCGAGGTGACTGGGAACATGAGGTTGCTAATGAATGTCGAGGGCTGCTAATGATCATCAACAGAAAGGTGAGGGGATGCTTATGGGTCTTCATTGAGGTGCCAACCAACTAGCAGAGTGTTCTGGGATGTGTATTGTTAATGGTGCATGCATTATATACCGGTGGGCCAGCTCAAATAGACATTTTATATAAATACACTGTGGGGGCCCGGTTTGGCCTGCGGGCCTGAGTTTGACACCTATGCTCTAAGGTAAACCAAAGGAAGGTTTGGATTTGTTGGGTTTCTCTGTATAAATTTGTAAGGTCTTCATTTTATTAGTGCCTTCAGATGACATATGCTGTAAAATTGTGCTCTATAAATAAAACTGATATTAATAAACTGTTTTCAAAAGCTTCTAACACTAGATGTTGTGTTTCTAAGCAGCACACCACCAGATTGCTAGGATGGAGGATTTGCTCAATAATGTTTAGTTTTCTCAAATACTTGAAGCGTCCTCCCTGGGTTACTTCAGTTCACCGCAAGTAATTAAAGGCCAACCTTTGAATTCGTATATACATAAAAGAGCTACTAGCTGCATAAAATGGAACACACGCATTGTTTATTCCAATAGCCTAACAAGGTTTGTAATTCATGAATTTGTGATCAAACATTCATTGTTCTTTTAAATTTCTGTTCTCCTTTCATAAATTCTTGTCCTCTATTGTCTCTCTCACTGCTCATTTACATGTTACATGCAGGAGAGGAAACCACTTGCCAATAATTTCTGTCACCATCTTGTTACTCCAGTGGCAGTAATTGAAAGTTTCTCACCAACGACTGCTTTGGTTTAAATCCTGTTGAATCATTTTTGGAGTGTTTTTGAACGCAAACAGAATCTGTTACTTGACATTCATGGTCAATAAAATGACAAATGGCACTGATGTTGCAGATTATGTCCTGACATATTGACTGAATCAGCGTTTAAGCACTACATTTATAAGGACATTTATATATGCGGATATTAGTCAGGTGTAATGGATTCAGGAGTAAACAAGCTGATAGTGAAGTCCAACCGTTTTAGCTCCGGTATAAATCTGATCTGCCAATGCTTGTGCAGCCATCTCAAAATCTAATCTAAGGTTAATCTAATAAACAAATCACACTCAGTGCTGAGAACAACCTGCTTCACAAAGCAATTTTTCTTTCCGCTTCATTCACTTTCAAGCCCAGCTCTGACTTCAGAGGAGATACTGCATATTAATGTGTGTGTCATGCTTATTTTGGTTGTGCCCCGTGGATCGTGTGCTGTATTTGTTCTGGCATTTTGCTGCATTTTATTTTCTGCTACAATAACATGATGAAGGTCATTTGGACAGAAATAGGCAGTGTTGTTTCTATATATATAGAGGCGCAGCTCTGTCTGACAATGCTTGATTGCTTTTTCTTATTATTTGAATCTTGTAGGGGTTTTAACACAGCTGTTTATTTTACAGCAGAGAGAGCGAGAGCGTGTTTAGGGCAGCTCAGTAAAACCACAACACTAAAAACTGAGTAATGAAAGGTAAGAGCAAGAGAAAATTTTAAACGGTAATAAACAGGGGGAAAAAGAAATCTCAATATACATATCTTGAAAGAAGTGTTAAAGGAGTGGTTCATGTCAGAATGCTACGCCTACACTTAGGTTTGCTGTCTGCTCAGGCTTATCTTGTTCCTGTTGTGACAGGGCTTAGGAAGGGAAGAGGTGAGCCATACAGGCAGTGCCAGTCAAAAACTGTGTGAGGAGTACTTTTGCAGTTATAACAGGCGTGATGTCTCTTTATTTTTTATTCCTCTCTCTCCCTGCAGCATGGCCAAAACTTGCCAGCCTGTCTGACAGAGGAAGGTCCCACCACTTGCTATTGTTGCTCGTTGGCTTATTTCCTTGTGGGCTTATGGATAGTGGACCAAGGCCCATTCTCACCAACAGGCATAGTGCTACTTTGCAAGGTCACGCCTGTTATCCCCTGATAAACAAAGACGGGTGGAAGACAGGCAGAAAACAAAGCTCTCTGCAGCCCATCAGCACTGGTGCTGTTGTCAACAATGACAACACAGCTTGGCTGTCCCCACTGATAAAGGCATACCAGCACACAGCTGGAAAAGCAACATCCTCGACAAGCCATGGCATTAGTTGAATGCTGTACCTCTGTCACTCAAAATAAGAGGGGAGCAGGGATAATTAGAGTAGCCACACTGGTGCGTGGGATGACTCCAAGTCCAACTTCAACGCTTTTCCAGAAGTAATTACTGCAGGTAGGCTGATAGCTGCTCCATCAATTGATGGATTTCAACAGTTGCAAAGTAGCAGCGCACAGCAGTGCTGGCAGAGGTGCTGCCAGTGATGAAGCCCCAGGGGAGAGGTCTGACCTCCAGACAGCTCTAATAATGTTCTGTCCTACTGACACCTAAGAGGCGCAATGGCAGGCCACCTTAAGCCAGCCGTAATGACAAGCTGTATTGCACAGGTCAGCCATTTTGTTATCAGCCAAGAATTGTCAGTAGGACTCAGAAGTCAGGAGGAGAAAGGCAGAGTGGTTTTCAGTCACACTTCCCATCATTATCTCATCTTTGCCATGACTACAATCAAAAATATCATGTGGAATAAAGGCTATTTGCAGCTCTATTAAACCAGCTATCACGACTGCAAAGGGGACAAAGGACTGTGATGATGACGATCACTTATATGAAGCCAAGAACAACACCTCAACACAACGACATTATTAGAAAATGAAAAATGAATAGTTGACCTTCATGCTCTGTCCTTGGACAACAGTAAATTATGACTCTTATACCCTGTACAAAAACTGAAATGAGTTAATGAGCAAATGTTAAATTTATAAAGCGACTTATAACCTCCCCAATTAGTAAAATAAAAGCTCTCCAATTAAATCCAAACAAATGCAAACAACTACTTTTCATTGAATTCGTTTCTCTAGTTAGACTTCTCCTGACAAATCCAGTAAAACGGTGAATGAGCTGCACAGTATTTAATCACTGAGCATGTTAAAGGGCGAGACTTGTGGTGTACTCTAATAGAGCAGACACATTTATTAAATAGGTCAGAACACACAAAGACACAAAGCCCTGCGACTAACAGGTCCATGCAGCGCTGTACCTCTGACTGGTGGCCGCGATGGGCACCCTCCATCCTTTGATCTGGCTCAGCTCAGTGTCTGACACCTCAATCTGGAGAGGGAGACGAGGGATCCACACGTTGAGCTCCAGCTGAGCGCTCAGATATCCATAGGTGAAGTTCACCATCATCTTCACTTTGCCCTTCATCTCCTTGCCATTCACAAAAACATAGTCGCACCTGTCAGACACCTGCGTGGGAGGAGAGGGAAGGATTAAAAAGGACAGCATTTAAGTTGAGCTCTTCTGACAGTTGCACTAGATGACTACACAGTGAATTACACAGTGCAATATACTGTAAAGCACACCATGTAGGCCAGGCCATGCCAGTTGATTATAAGGCTTTACACTTCTGAGCTCTCTACTGATATAGTATTCCTGTAACTACTTTGAACAAGATGAAAGGTCCTCTATCTGCTCCACACTCAGGAAAAGAGGGAGGAGGGCAGCAAGGACATCTTTGAACCTGAGGGAAAACAGGTCGTGGTCTGCTGTTTTATTATCGCTCAGCCTGCAGCTAAAAGAAGAACCAACAGATGGAAACTAGTAAGAGGAGAGCAGTTGTCTCTTGATAAAATGACCAAACTGACAGCCATCTGTTTGGTAAATTGCTTTACAAAAGGAATGAGTGGGCCAATTTTGTACTATCGAAAGACACAACTCCTTGTTGCTTTGACTCCGTCTCTTTAAAGCCCACCCCCTGTGGTTCTTTACTCAAACCAGCGTTTGATTATTGTCCAGAATCTCTTCTCTCTGTTGCTAAAAAAAAAAACGTACAATATGGCTGTGCAAGCATCACACATAACATACTCTTTAGTGGGATATTTAGTGGACAAGCACACTCACACTTACAGAGGTAATTAATTAGTATATCCTCAATAAAGATGCACAGTTTTTTATGGGCATTTTGTCAGTTTTATTGATCCCATCATATAGCAGACTAGCATGGATGCTACCAGATGGAACTAGATGGTCTGGGGAAATATCTTTTTTCTACTTCCAAGTTATTTCTCCACAGTGAGATAAAACCATAAACAGCCATTCATCACAAAGCTGTGGCAGGATATCCTCTGTGACCAAGAAGAAAACTTTGTGTGTGACAGATTCTATTCTGTACTTTGTGTGAGTCTCCTGCTCTTCACCTCTAGCATGAAGCCAGCTGTAGAGTTCCTGTGGTGCCGTGTAGACGAAGCTTGGCTGGTTTGCATAAAGAAAAGCAGGTATCTGGAGATTTGTTGCATCAATTTAAAAATCTACACCAGCGCAAGCTTTCTGGTTAAACTAGCAGCATTCCCTGAGAATTAGTATGTCATTGGACGCAAATATCCCAGAGCTGGCTTGATCAAAACAATCATCAGAGACCTTCCAGTTGATTTCTTCTGCTTACATCTGTGCAGACATGTAGGTGAAAAAAACTTTTGCAAGCTGAAGAAAGAAACTAAATGATGCCATATGCATATATAAAGTGCTTCTGCAATTCTGTTAGTTTTAAACTTTAAAGTCGAGCTCACTTATGAATAATGTACAGTTTTAGTGTAAGAAAGTATATAATGAGAACACTGTTTTTGTTACATTTTCACTTTCAGGACTTCTTGTATTTACTTTGAAGGCAATGGTAGGACAGGAATTTGAACTGGGAATCTGTTGCTCAGGGTGGTATGTACCCTCATCCCATTTGGGCACATTTTCCACTTTCAAAGAGCGGAAATGCATTTTTGAACATATTTGTTGATAATATTGGTACACCTCAAGTCTCTGGTGGGTGTTCTCCTTTCCTTTCACATTCTTTTCCCTGCTTTCATGCGAGGGTCAGCCTTGCTGAGGGATGCTATTTTCCTCTTTGTTAGACCACATGACCTTCAGATGTTTGTTACTCTACAGCAGTCAGCATTCAAAGTTTTGGATCCTTCAGTCCCTTCAATCATCTCTTCAGTATAAAGGTTAAATGGATAAATGGCTGAATAAAAAAAAGTGGAATCTCACTAGCCTAGCCTGCTAATATTGACATTGATTTAAACTAGAAGTTTGTTTTCACCTGTGTAGCTTTTGGAACTGAGGTGATATAATAAACTACTTTTTGTGCCTGCGCACAAAGATATTGCACCAATAAAATTACCATTACAGGAACACTGTCACACAGAGCCAAAAGTTCACACCCCCAGCAGCATACTAATGTAGGGAGCGCCGTCACCACAGAAAAATAAATACAGCTTAAATTTCTTCTTACTGGTGATTAAAATTTTGAACACATTTTTCATCAAAGACGTATTTTAATTTTTTTTTTTATACAAGTGTACTTTTCCCCTGCAGAGTTAACCTTTCTGAAATTGTACAAATTCTCACACCCTGCAGCAGGCTCACAGAAGCCGTGGACTTCATGTCCTGAGACCAAGAAGCTCTAAAACCCCCCATGAGAAAGCTGAAAAGCATGCTGCAGGGCATCCTTCAAGGCTACAGCCAACCATCAGAGAACGCTTCTTAAGGTCTGCACCAGCCCTGCATTTTCAAGTGGACACATGCAGGATCAATGGCTATTTCCTGTGTTATTAAAGTGAATAAAGAGAACATAGAAAGCAGTACCTTGCTGTACGGCAGTGCAATGTAAGAGAGACTGACAGAGTTGTTTAATGAAGCTTTTGAACATTTCTACAAGGGCGGCGTCCCTCCCCTGGCTACAGTCAGTCATGGAGCAGATTGGACTCCATCAGGGCTCCCAGTGAGAGAGTGTGTTTGAACTGATAAAGATGTCAGAGGAGTCCCTGCTCCTTATCAGCTCTCATTGTTCGCCTCTTTTTCTTTCACCACACTCAGTCTGCTGAGACTGAAGTACCTTTGACAGCCCCTTCATCTCTGACTTTTTCTTAGTTAAGGCTCTACAACCCATGTGCACGCGGACTGGATTCCAGGCTACGTAACACCTGACTGGTTTCCATGTAAGCCTCATCGACCGCATCTAGTAGTGATATGAATAATCAATAAAACAGATGAGGCTGACAGATATGCTTATCCATTTATCAGTCCTGTTTTTTTTGCCTTATTCACATAAATTTGTATGAAATTCACCCTTTTCTTGTAGCAGCAAAAGACTTTGTAAATGAACGCAGGATTTATTAACATACAGCTTTGCTGCAGCATGTCTCATGACAAGGAAATTAACTGCCTGCTGGCATTTCTTCGATCTATTACCAAACAATCTAAGCAGAAACAATTATGGGAAACATGGCAGCTGACATCCAGCCATCCCAACACATTACACTGACGTGCTTACACCTTCCTGCTGCGCTGTCTTATTGGCCAATACAGCCTCAGATCAATATTTTAACATAAAAGGACACTGCCACTTAATCAGCAGCTCCTTTAACCCCTCACGCGCCCTCCCTGCCGTCGACGTGTTGTGCCAGACTCGGGGTGGGACTGTCTCTGTGAATTACACACTCTCCGTCATTCTGCTTCGCAAAGTATCATAAACGTCCAGGAGGATCCACTGCCACATTAATCAGACACATTAGGCAGCTAACGGGAGAATACTTACAGAGGACATTAAGGCTGTCTCTGGATCTAGCCCAGGAAATTAACAACTCACCAGACAGATACAATCCACGGCAGATATGAGCGATGGGACTAGGGGGCATGAAGGTGGGGTGAGTCTGTCTCTGGCTTGTACACAGAGTTGCCTTGACAGAAGCAATTAAGCCGCTCAGGCTACTCTGCATAAGCTACGGCATTCGCTTCAATGCAAGGGGAAGCTGTAATATCCTAACAGCCCGGCTCCATAATAGCAGGAGTCACGTGAGCCTGCTATAGCATGACCTTGAGGTCATGGCTGATGTATGAAGATGGAATATTTTCCCTGGAAACCCTGTAATGTGTTTGTTTGTTTGTAGTTGCGGTTTCAATGCGGAACTAAAATAAATGTGGAGTCAGAGGAAAAATCTTGAAACAACAACTGTTTAACGCCAGAATATGGAAGCACAAAGCGTCCAGAGACCTGCAAGGGCAACTGTGTTAGTTATTTTGCAGGCCAGAGAGACAAAACATTGACCTGAAATATGCTAAAACGCTGCATCGAAATGAGGCTAACCGCAGAGTTGGGTGATGACTCTTTGCAGGTACATCACTAATAGAGACCCCTCTGACATACAAGCACTCATATGATGCATTGTGAATATGCTGCTTGTTTGAGGATGTCCAACGTGTGAAGCTGTATAATGAGGAGAGCAGACAGAAAGCAGAGGAGGCCCTACTGTCCCTCCAGACTTACATACAAATACACTGAAGAAAAAAGCCCATACAGTGAACCAGGCGATGTACACTGGCCCTAAACTCAACTGTCAAAATGTTCATCCAGAACAAGCAAGACGCGCGTGCAAAATAACGCAGGCACAGCATTTTTGCCTGCACATGTCACACAATATTAGTGTAAATAACACAAATTTGCAAAGAGGTTTGAAGAAAAAAAGCATGCGACCTGAGGTATTTGTTTAAAATTCACTGTAATTACAGGGCCAGGAGTGAGAGGAAGGACCATTTAATGTGGGCAGTGATTCATTATTCAGGTTTAATGTCAGTCTGTGTTTATTTATCACTAATTCCCTAGGTCAAAATGAGATAAATTAGTCATGTTTACGTACATGATCTCAGGCTATGATTAGAAAAGTGAGCAACAGTAAGCACGCAGGAGGAATGCTCTAACCTGGAAACAGCAGTGGATTTAAAAAAAACATCCTTGTATGCTTAATTTCCCTTCAGAACACACTTAACTACCTCTAGCTCACATAACAGACATGATGAAGTGGCTCAGTGTGGCACTACCTAAGGTTTTGATTTAGTTTAATTCATTTGATTTCTTTTCAGTGTTGATTAGATTAGTTTGACTTGCTTTGTTCCTTAGTCTTGGCAGTCTTTGCCACACCAGGTTGCTGTTTCTTGACACGGAGTGACATCTCAGCCATTAAAAACTGGAAAACGCATCACAGATAGATGTAATTTTGTTTCTCCATGTTTCTGTTAAGTCTGGGAATCTGATGGAAAGTGACTTTCTTTTGTTTGCAGAGCAAAGCCACTGATAACAGAGCTCAACTTCATAACACTATGAGGGCCTTTTTACTCTGTTGTGCCTCAGGTTTGGAAAGGGCTATAAAAGAATTAAAATAAAAACATTGTCAGTAGTGTCTGCATATCAAACACATACTTTCATGTTTTCCAGTAGTTGTTTATTCTTTCTGGAGGATTTATATAGATGTGCTAAACACAGAAGATCTTCTTATCTTATAGTAATGATACAATATTGATTTCTAGAAAGGTTCTAAGTACCTATAGCCTCAAACATGTTATTAAGTAGGCATCTGAGTTCTCTTTAAACTATGATTGACTTGCAAAGTTACAACACTTATCATAAATGGACAGCAGAAATTTTAATTATTTTATTGTTTTAAACTTTAACGGATTAGAAATGACTCAGTTTCATGTTTGATGCAGATAAATGTGCATGTATGAAATTAACTGAGAAAAAATTTGAACAGTAACATTGAGCCTTATTTACTTGTGGCTTCACCTTTATATGCTGCACAATGTTACGGCTGCCAATGTAAAAGAAAAAAAAAATCTTTGAATTTATGCTAAGCCTATTTGAAGTGGCCGGTGGCAAGGTGGTTTTACGACAGCACAGACGCAGAGGCTCGTTTTTCTTTCAGCAGTTCATCTCACTGACCTTGACCACATCTTCGTCTGTCGAGCGGCACTTCACCGCATCAGAGACATCGGTAACGGAGCCGTCTACCCCGATGGTCACCACCTTCACTGGGACAGCCACGGTCTTCCCAGTCAGGACGGCGGTGTTCAGAATCTCTGAATCCTAAAGACAGAGAGAAACACAACAGATCAGCAGAGTTCTGCTTGAACGCCTGCAGGTTTGTTATCGACACAATGACAGATCAGCACTGACCAGCTCTGAAAGAATAGAAAAAGTACCACCTATAAGTGGTATTGAAAATGACCTAATAAGGTCTTGTACAATCGCAGCGCAGTTAGTGATTATTGGGTGAACCACTGTGAAGCTAGAACTACTGCTGGGTGGACTGATGGCAGCTGGTGAGCTCACTGTCCGGGATGCCGTTACAACAGCTAAAAGTGAATTCTCATGTAAACAGATTTTCCCTGGTCCCCTGTACAACTGGACCTTTAGCTTCCCTTTGGGTATATGGTGTCAAGAGAAGAATTTGAATGAATGAATGAATGAATGAATGAATGAATGAATAATTAATTAATTAATATTTGTTTCAAACAAAAATAAAGTTAAAAACAAAATAAAAAAAAACAAGGGAGTCGAAAAAGAACAGGAAGAAATATAATTAATAGATTGTTATAGAACTGCATATTTCCAATAGATAGAGAAATTGTTGTACTAGCAACAACAACACAACAACAACACAACATTAGTAATAATAATAATAATAATAATAATAATAATAATAATAATAATGGATACAACAACAAAATTGCCAAAGTGCCTAAATATTCCACACAGTCCAGTGACAGAGCATGATGTTCTTTTTCACCCCAATGTCCTCACTCCTCACCCCTCGCTCCCCACCTCTCCCCGCTTGCTGCTCCTCCCCCTCCCCCGAGCTCAGAGTTGTACAGTTTGATGGCTTGGGGAACAAAGGAGTATATTATTAGAACATAAATATATTACAACAGTACACTACATAAATATATGTATAGGCCTACACAAACACACACATACATCCATCCATCCATTCATTATCTATACACCGCTTGAGCCTGACTAGGGTCGCGGGGGGGCTGGAGCCTATCCCAGCTGACTGAGGGTGAAAGCAGGGGACACCCTGGTCAGGTCACCAGTCTATCACAGGGCTACACTTAGAGACAGACAACCAAGCACACTCACATTCACACTTACGGACAATTTAGAATCACCAGTTAACCGAGCCACCTTGCAGCCACACATATACACATAGATATAAATTTAATTAGCTTTTAAAGGTACAACATTTAGCATTTTGTTGCCATTGTAATCTGAAATTAACCATTCTGATCATTATATATTCGTGTGAACACATCCCCTCGCTTCCACTTTTGGTTGGCTCATCACCAAAATTACAGCTCACCAGATCAAATTCATAGCTAAATGGTAAATGGTAAATTCATAGCTGATGTGATTTCTGATGGGAGAACACAATACAAACTTAAACACCTTAAAACTATATTTCATATGGGATAATTACTCATGCTCTTTTATGTGAGAGTTTTTTTCCCTCATAAACCACACTCCTCTCTGCTCAGACGCGTCATCAGGAACACAACATGACGTCAGTGAGTGTTTCTGTTGCTGAGGTTGTTCCAGCTTTGATTCATGTAATCTTGAACAGGCTGCAATTTGAAGACTGTCTTTGTAGTGTGTTTAGTTGTGATTACCCTCCTCTTGTGCATATGTATGTGCTGCAATAGTGCTGCAATAGAACATGCACCATAGCTAAACTAACTATACTCCACTTTGCCTTTGAACAAATGTCACAGAAGGCAAGAAGAACATGCAGCATGCGACAACAAACCGTCTAGTCCAAAAAAAATGACAAGAATACATGGTTACTGCCTTTTTGACTTTGTAAAACAGAGTGATATATTCTTGGTATTTCACAAAAGTCATGGTGAAACGTAACCTTCCAAAAATAACCAGTCCCACCTTGTGTAAATCAGGGTCCAATCAGTCTTATAGTCAGACTCTATGTAAAAAGCACCAAAATGCTACCGCACAATTTGCCCCCGGACTGCAACAGAGGTACTCGCAGTAAATGACCTCAACCGTCTAGACAGCCGCGGTTCTTTAGGTTCTGTGGCACAGCTTCATTACTCTGAACAGAAATCTTAACCTTTCATTATAGACACACACACACGGTCACACACGCCACCATTGTCACAAAGATAATTGGGGCCAATTAAGATAAGTCTGAGGTAACTTTTGCTCTCCAAAGTCACCGATGCACATTGGATTGTCTCTTCTGCCCATTCAGACCAAAGAAATTGCACTTCAATTACACAGATTGCTGTAGAACCCTTGGCACCGCAGTAAATAGCTGCGACAGAGGTAAAAGTGGACTTCTATTGAGAAGTTATACTGTACTAACTAACATAGGCTTCTTGCGATCGGCGAACTGAAATGACTTTAGCTAATTGTAAAGCATGACAAAAGTCTCTCATTGTGAGCTGTTTTCATTCCACTATTGGCATGGTCTTACACAAAAGCCCTGCTCCAATTTCCTTAATTTCAATAGGCAGGAGCCCCAAGGCATTCTTTTTTTTGGTCCCCACTGTATTGAAGCTTTGCCAGCAGTGAATACATTTATTATTTTTCTTTTAACAGAGAAATCTAACTCTGGAGTGATGCCTGTTGAATTAAGTGTCACATTTGTTTAGAGTAATATTGCTAAATCTGACAAGCAGAGACAGGGCCAATCAACGGTGTCTGACTTCCTGTCCATATTCATGTGTATTCCATAGTCACCAGGGAAGTACACAAGATTTGTGCAGCGCTCTGTCAACTGGATTTCTAAAGACTTCCCCATGTGTTTGTGAGCTTGCAAATCAGACTCATTCAGAAAAAGAGAAAAGGAGGATTAAGTTTGATTGAAAGAAGCCTGGTCGTTTGTAAGACCATTTGGCTTTGGAGTGAAATGATTATTAGCTGAGCCAAGAGATACCAATGAATCACAAAAAAACACTTAATCTTCAAATGGCTTTTCATTACAATTTTATAGACTGTGACAGTGTTATATAGCAATATAAACCCCCCTCTCAGTGTGCCGCTGACTTTGATTCAATTCCCCTTAAAATTGAGGATTGCTGTAAATTAATTCTATGTCTGCTGGGATTCCTCCATTTCCAGAGGGTCATCTATAATGCATGATGGGGTAAATGGTTAGGATCTGGTGAAAGCAGAGGCTAATGTTAGATTACATCAGCTGGAGATGACCCAGCAGGGTGAGAGCAGCAGAAAGCAGAGCCTGGCAGTAATAAGCCACAGCGGGATCCCACGGTGATGCATCAGTGGTCCACACACTCTGACATAGACGGCGCAATTAAACACAAAATGGAGACCAGTGGTGCACATCAGCAGCTTAGAGTAGAGTGAATGAAGACACAACGAAATATGGACCTGTGGAACTGGAAAAATGTGTCTATCACCTGATGAGTTTTATGACAGTCAGTGTCTGATAAGCAATGTAAGATATGCTAAAGGGAAATTTAAAAACATATATATATATATATAACATTCTGTAGTTTCTGTACCGTAAAATATAAAAGTTGCTGCATGTAGCATTTGTTATTCTTAAGTGTGCAGCTTTTAGTATGTAATGTTGCACCTGAATACCCTATTCAAGCTGCATCAGAAGGGATAACAGCTAATAGAAGACCTTGATAACATCCAGTATATTCTACATTTCACGTAAAGCTGCCTGAACAGAAGATAAGGGATGCAGAAACGTTGTAAAGTTGCTGTAGTTTCAGTGCTTCCTTATAGAGCGGTTTTCCTTTGCATCAAATGATAATCCAGCAGATTACAAATCTAACAAAAGAACACATCATGTAAATTGCAGTATAACCTGAACCTGCTGGTGAAGTCTTTGCTCACAGTTATGGTCTGTTGTTTCAAGATTAATGTGGCAGTGGATAATCCATGACAAACAATGCACTTATCGGAAAATAACAAGACAGTCTGGCTGCAAGATAATGCACCATGCAAAGCGCAATATGTGTCATAACTGCAGCGGTCTGGATGAATTATCTCACTTATGTAGAAGCGTGGCCACTGACTTATGATCAAAATATACAGTATATTGCTTATTCATATTCTGGGCCAAAACGCTATTTGAACAGAAGAGTAAGGGAGAAATATTCAAGGCCCTTGTAAGGATGCTCTACAAAACAGACTCTCAAGAAGCTGTAATAAACCCATTTTCCCATTAAAGGCATCTGTTATCCCAGTTTGACTGGGATTTTTGTGGTTTATACAATATTACCAAACCAGTTTATGACAAACTGGTTTACTACATTGAGCACACAGTGACCCTGGAGCCTTTGGGACTCTCAAGGTTCTCCACCTCAGGGCAACGGACCACTATGCCAATTGGTAATCCAGTCAAGTAGGAGAAAAAGAACCTGTAGCCTAGTAACTGCTGAAACGAGCAACCTATCACCTATTGGCATTGCTTTAAATAGGTGATGAGCTTGAGGCGTAAAAGCTGTGCTGTTATCTGAAAGTAACACAAACCCAGCCAAACAGTCTTTCTGCCTTTATGAAAAGCAGCTGTAAAAGCAGGAAATTGATCTGAGCAAGTTCCCCACAGTTTCCCATCATGGCGTCCTTTTGCCTCTTCATAACTCCCCATTTGTACCTCCGTTTTGCCACTCTCTGCTCTCCAGTAGGTATGTGCACGAAGCGTATAGGCTACAGGTGAAATAGATGCAGATGCCTTGATTATTATCTTGAAGAATATTTCTGAGTGTGCAGGATGTCTGTTCATTTGATTCTCACCTGTTGACGCTGGTGTTTGTGCTTTAGTTACTCGCCAATCTGCCCCCTCCACTCTTACAGATAGGAGTCTTTTTGTTCAATAATCTGTAGGTGAACTGCCTGTCTGCTTTATCAAAGATCTCTCTGTTAGCATTCAGCACGCTGCTGCGGCTGGTAATGTGTTCTGGGCTGTAATTTCTGCCTGTGTCTCGGTTGGATCTGAAAATAAGTGAGATTTATGGTGTCAGCCTGAGTGACACGGGCAGCATGAGAAGTAGCAAAGCTGGCCGTCCTGGTGTTGCGATTAGCTCTTGCCTCAA